CCAACAATTTAATGGAATATGGGAACAAATTTATTGACCATGCTACGTAAATAATTAACTACTTTAACTATATTTTTTTTCTTACAACGATTTAATCAAAATTTAACGTCTTTTAACATACCCCTAACTTGTTCCAACGTAACGAACAAGATCATCGTGAACGGTCCTTGTCTCGTTACGGTCGGAACAAATCCTTTATACAAAGCCATCGGTCCTTCCTCCGTCACCGTCTTCACCGCACAATCCAACGGTCCACCGTAACTCTCCGCATCTCCATTCATCATCCTCGTCTTCACTACATCAATCGGATTCGAAGCCACCGCCGCAACAATCCCGGCCGCAAAACTCGCCGCCACGTGAGTTCCGATTCCTCCCGGCGTTCCACGGCCTCCGGCGACCATGATTTCTTTGACGTGGTCGTAAGTTGCGAGCTGTGAAGCCGTCACGATCATAGCTCGGTTCACGGTTAGCCACGAGCCACGCCATAAGCTTGAGACGCCTTCTTGTTTTACGATCCGGTCGAGAGCGTCCATGACGCTTTTGTAGTTTCTACGGCGATTTAACGGCAAACGTCCATCGGCTTGCATTCGAACCATTGCCACGTCAGCAGGATTTCCGACGGCGGATCCGATGGCTCCGGCGATGAGTCCAGCTGCGATCTTGGTGACCAATGGGAAGTTACCTGTTGGGAAACCTCTGATTAATTAATTTGTTACGTTTAATTGTATCATTCGTGTTTTTTTTTTTTAAAAGGAGCCAGAAAGTACAAAATCGAACCGAACCAAACCAAAATGTTGGAACCTAACCAATCTTTGTTTGCAATTTTTTGGTTTTGATTATTCCCCAAACCGAAACCAAGTTTAGTTTATCGAATCGAATTAATTAAAACTCATTAAAATTTATATTTTTTAACTATATATATATAAGTTAAGTAATTATATTTCTATGACTTAAAAGTAATTTTCTAATTCCAACCAAACCAAACTGAACCAGACTAGACTTTGCATCAAAGCAAATTGATTGCAAATAATTTTATTTGGTTTCAAGTCTTTTAGAAACACGATAGTAAAAAAAAAAATCAAATAAAAACCAATCCGTAAACGAACTAGTGATCCTAATATCCCTATACAAGATCTCGATATTGATAATGGAGATAGACCAAACTCAAGAATTTGTATTTTTTCTTCGTATAAATGTGTATCGTAGTAAAATCACAAACAAAAATTTAATATTTTTAATCATTACCGGTGAGTCGATCCGTCCACCTCCGCTTAAGAAAATCGTAAATACCCATACGCGTGGCCGAGTAAAGCATCTGACGGAGGACGGTGGCAGAGACGCCGGAGAAGAGTGCGGCTGGTCCTTCCGTTTTCACAATGTAGGCCCCAACGGCGAAAGGAGTCGACTCGGAGCGCGTGGAAGAAGACGGCGCGTGAGTTGATGAAGGCAGTAGAGAAATGCTTCCGATGAGAGAGTCAAGACCGAAAACGGGTCGATAAGGTTTAACGGGAGGATTAAGACTAAGACTAAGATTAGGGTTTTGGTCGTCGGTATCAGAAAAAGAGTGTTCTCCTTGTAGCTGCATACGGACTTTGATGAGGTCTAATGGGTGAGTCAGAGCTCCGGCGATGATTGCGGCGATGCCACCTTCAAGAAATGGTTTGAAGCCCATTTGAATAATGAGAAGAAACAAAATATGAGAGAATGGATATTTTGGTAAGAAAATGTCTGGAGAGGATCTGATTAGGTTTTTGTTATAAGGAGATTGTTTTGAATAATGAGAAGAAATAAAAGAACAATTTGAGAGAATGGATATTTTGTAAGAAAATGTCTGGAGAGGATCTGATTAGGATTTTTGTTATAAGGAGATTGTGTTTGAATAATGAGAAGAAATAAAAGAAGAGTTTGAGAGAATATGGATCTTTTGTAAGAAAATGTTTGGAGAAGAGAAAATGAAATTGGACAAGTTGGAAATGGAAGAAGACAAAAGATATGGGAAGAAATGAAAATAATGCAACGAGTTGTGTTTGCATGTGTACTAGTCTTGCATTACGCGCAGTTACTAGCTTTGGCACAATGTGTTCTTTTTTTTTTTTTTGATGCACACCTTGTCGTTAGAGAAATTAAGTTTATTTGAATATTGACGAATAAACCACTATTGGTCAATATATAACCAATATACAAAGCATTGCTCAACGTGAATAATATGTTCCAAAATTCTAGATGTTGCTTTAGCAAAAAAAAAAAGAAAAAAGTTCTAGTATGTTGCAGTTGTTTGGTATAGATTGTTTGAGTTGTCAATTTGGGAATAGTTTAATCATTTGTTGGAGATGGTAAATCATAGTGTGTATTTGTAAGATGCTAAAATCTACTAATAAAGATGATAGTTAAATATACGAAAAAATGAGTAGGACAAATGGGTACATGTTCTACAAGATATATATGATGGATCTGATTTGCTTAGAAAAATGAATGTATAAACTTGTTAGTTGTTACATGCCATTTAAGATTCATGACAATCAGTTGTTCAAAAATTGATATAAAAAAATTGGACCGAGCAAAAGGGTGCCTTATTTGATCGATCAAATAGTTCCATGAGTTTATAAGAAGAGCAAAGCCAAAACATCACATGAGGTTTTGGTTCATGGAGATCCCACAAGACAAGGTAACAAAAACCTGTAATATTTTTTATATATTCTAACCCAATAAAACACCAAATCCCAATTTCATGAAATTTTCTTTGGCCCACTAATTATAATACTTGTTTAGTACTTCGATCATTTGTTTCTTCTTGCATGTACTCTAATATATAAAGTACTCACTCGTGCTCGTCTTTTATTAAACACAAACCAAACTGTTATTACATATATATAGACTTAGATAATTATAAAATCAAGCAAGAGCATATATAGATGCTATTTTTAAACGTTTTTCAGCCATTAATCTATGGCTTCTTGTTAGGACCACTCGAGGTTTCCTCAGAAACACTCGACTTTCTCGCAGTAACTTCTTCATCAACCGTTGTCGTAGGCTTTGTCTTTTCACTCTTCGAAGAACCATCGTTAACACCAGGAAACGGAAAGCTAGGAAACCACGACGGAAATCCAAACTTTGGGTCTTCTGGTTCCTCAAGCTCCTTTGGTGGCTCCTCTGGTCCCTCAGGCTCCTCTGGTTCCTCAGGCTCCTCTGGTTCAGGAATCTCGGGCTCCTCAGGAATTTCCGGCTCTTCTGGAACTTCTGGTTCTTCTGGAATCTCGGTTTCCTCGGGCTCTTTATATTCTGGAATATTTGTGATATCTTTATGCACTAAAGATTGACCTACTCTAGCAGCAAAACTAGGCGTAGTAAACATGAAGGACGATGAAAGAAAGACAAGGAAAAAGACTGAAGAAACGAGAATAGGAATGCGAAGATTAATCATCTTTTGTGGTATGATATTTCTTGAAGTAGAGAGAGTTTGTGTTTTGGTATTGTGTGAAGAAGTGTTTCTTAAATAATATTGAGATGAGAGCTTTGAGAATGTAGATTTCATAAGAGTCAAAAAATTTGGTGAGAAGAACTCTATGCACGATTGTGAATGTGATGTTAGTCTTCAACAAACTCACCTATATAATTCATTTTACTTGCATAACACCTTTAGGTTTATTTTTGAACTTTATAGATGTTCTAATCTTATAAACACTGAACATTACAAGAAATCTTACCATTAGCAATGAGTTTTAGAAACCAAAAGATATATAAACTTTATGTACACTGAATATAAAATATTTTCTTTATCTGATTAGTATTTCAAGAAACGTTGAAATTAGATATGTTAGGTGATTCGAGGAAGTTAATGTAGAAAAGGTAAAAGTGGTAGAGTTTTTTGTTTTTTCTAAAAATTAGTCTAGATAAAATTTGTTTGCATGTCATTCCTATTGACAGTCCATTGTTGTTACTTGTTTACTTGTTAGTCTAGCTAGTCCATATCTAACGAAATGCCCATCTGTATCGATACATTACATTAGTACTACTGTCCATATTGGTTTTATTGGAGTTGGTCTATTCACCAAATTGTTGCCTACATTTCAAGTTTAAGGAACGCGACTATAATAATACTTGAGTTTTGTGTTTTTTAATCAAACTATATTATGTAATTAATATGTAATAAAAATTACCATTACAAATCATGTGATAAATCACAACAAAGAGGTTACGATTAAAATCTATTGCATCTTATTATTCATATCATATGACTTATGAGAGTCAATTTTTGTTGTTGTCTATGGACTACAAAGCGAGCCATTTGTTATTTCTGTTTGGCTGCTTTGCCAAAAAAATTAAGCTTAAACTCTATATCACTAATCTAATCCTCACTATTTCTAATTTATATGTAACATATGCTTAGAGGAAATTTTAAATTTCACATATCAAAAAACATTTTACAATTTAAAACAATGCTTTACACAACCAATACCGGCTCTCGATCCATACTTTTGAAACATGCGTTTGGAACTTTTATAAAAGTTTATATCACATGACTTTTATAATTTTGAGATTGTTGGTTCATTCGGTTTAAGGAAGGCGATATGCTTTTCAAACAACAATATCTCATGTTCGAATCCAATCTTTTCAACG